TATGAGGGATCCTTCCCTGAGGGGAGAGGGGATCTGAGGGATCCTTCCCTGAGGGGAGAGGGGATCTGAGGGATCCTTCCCTGAGGGGAGAGGGGAGCTGAGGGACCCTGCCCTGAGGGGAGGGAAGGCTTCGAAGGAAAGGTAAATTTGGGGGGTAAAGGGGTCTGGAGGTGTAGCTCAGGGATCCCTTCTCTGTCGTGAGGAGCTTGGTGGGGACAGCAGGTTTGGGGAGCTTTTCTGTGACTTGAAGGGGTCGGGGGTAGGTGGAAGAGCCCTCCCCGAGGTGAACGGGGGTTTGGAGGGGGCAGGTGAGGGGTTTGGGGGACAGAAGTGATTTTGGGGATCCCTTCACCTCAGGGGACAGATGGGGAACCCCTTCCCTGAGGTGATGGGGGAATAAATGGGGGACCCCTTCCCCGAGGTGAGGGGGTGTCTGCTGTCCCATCAGAATGCGACTGAGGGAATGGACAGGGGGGACTGTCCCCTCGGGGGGCTGTTTGGGGGAGCTGTCCCCTCTATGGGGTGATCCATGGGGTGAGGGGCAGAGTCTGGGGGGCTTTGGGGTGGGATTGCTGTGGGTGGGGGCATCAGGAGTTGGGGGGACACAACACCGAGGAGCTTTCCTGTCACTTATCCAGGCAGCGAGCACTGGGATCCCCTTTTTCCATCCCTCACCMCATCCCAAAGCTTTTCCAATCGCAGAAAGAAGGGAACCCATCCTCCCAAGGAGCAGGAAAACCAATTCGGGGCGCGGGGAAGGAGAAATTGCCCGATGCCCTCCCCACCCCGTGGCACCAAAGGTGTGGAAGCTGCTCCCCAAGGCACCCCCTGGGCGCGGCAGAAGCGCCTCRGGGAAGAATGAGCCGGGGGAATCGRGAGGCCCCGGCGTTGTCAGCCCCTTCCCGGGGTACAAAGGCCGCTCGGGGTGATTTGTGGGTGAGGCCGTCGTGTGACAAATGGGGAACTCGGCGGAACCATTCAGGGCTCCCCGCGGCAGCTGAAGTTGAGGCCGTTTGAATAGCTCGGGGGCTCGGCTCGGCGGCGAGGCGCTGGAGCGGTTGTAATCGCGGGYGAAGCGCCTTTTCCAGGGAACAGTTGTGGGGTAGCCAAGAAGCAGGTGGCAAATCCTGCCTTTCCCCAACCCCAAACCCGGCGCCGAGCGGTGACTAAACAGAAAACTTGCGTCAGGAGACGTTCTGCTGCTCGCAAGGCTCCTCCACGCTCTTTTTCCCGTTTTTTTTTTTTTTTTTTTTTTTTTTTCTTGGGAAGTCTGGTTACAAAATGCAGTGGTTGCCTTGTGTCAGCTCTGTCCCTGTTTGATAATGTCACCGATGTCACGCTGAATTCCCTTTAAAAGCGGGGATGGTGTCGTGTTCCCCTTGGGTTCCGAGCCTGTGCTGGCCGAGGATAAGCGTTATTTGTGCACAATTTCTTTTTTAGAACTCGTTAAGGAGATAATCCCATCACGATCCCTGCAGCTGGTTTATTACTGCTAATGAGCCTTGGAGGGCCCCGTGGTGGATGCTCCGTGCTCCGTGGGGTCGGATGCCACTGACAAAGTTCCTCGTGTTCCCAGGAAGGGATAACACGAGGAATCGGGGCAGGAGATGAGTCAGAGCAGAGATAAACCCAGTTGTGGTTGTGCCAGTTTAGTCCAGGATTTGGAGCGAGGGCATCGTATTCTGGGCACCTGTAGGATTTCAGCCTTTCCGTGGCTGAATTGTTAAAATATGGATTTAGTTTCTAAGATTATTGTGCTTTATTTAGGAATTAAACCTAGTAGTTCGTGCTGTTTGCTTCCAGAGGGTCGTGTGGGACTTGCAGAAAGAGCTGGGAAGGCGTTAATTTGCCTTGTTCCCCTGTCACAGATCGTCTCACACCCCTGGAGTTTTGCAGGAAAGCACCCCCACCRTTTTTGGTTTTGTGGGAATATTTCTTTCACGGAGGCGGCAGCGCTGGGTCGAGATCCCGAGATCCACGGGCGTGGACGAGCCCACGCTTGGGAAATTCCTCCCGTGCAGCATCACCTCAGCCTGGCTGGGGAGGGCAAACACAACATTTCCATTAAGGTGTCAGCGGGTATTTGTGGTTCCTCTCGGATCCTTTCAGGGGCTGGGCAGAATTTATATCTCCTAATTGCACGAGGCTCGGAGGGCAACGCTGACATTTTAAATTAAACCATATCGACGTTACGCCCAGATAAATTGCCCAACCTTTGTGTGCTTGCTCAGGAAAAAGATGTTATGGATTACCAGTTAACTCCAGAGTTACTCATTAGGAATTTAGAGGTGCTGAAGGAAGTATTTTTGATAAAGCCTYGGTAGCCTTTGCYGTGGTGTAGGTGGGTTGTCAACAGYWCTGTTTATTTCCTTTCGAGGTGTAATTAATGCTAACGAAGATCTTGGAGGAGACCCYGAGTGGGGAAGGAATGTTTGAGACAGGCTTGTGGAAGCATCTGCTGTGGGCTAAAGCAATCAGGAATAGAAAATCCAATCATGATTCTAATTCKGTGACATCGGGCAAGTTAGCTGTTAATAACAAGTTTTTTCTAACCTGGGCAGGAAGGAAAAATATCTTCTCCCTGAGRAAAAAAACAAGTTTCTTTTCAAGCAAGTTGTTTTCCTTCGTTGTACAAGGCTGTCGTTGAAATATTTCGGTGCAGATGTCTTGTTTGATATTCAGATGTAAAGAAATAAGGATTGAGTGGTGGAAGTGGTTTTGTTTTTTTTTCAGAATTAAACCAGGGAAGTCCAAGCTTCTTTGCAACTTGAACTTGAGTCAAATCTGTAAATTTTTCTTCTCTTGCAGGGTTTGGGCCGTTTGGAGAGCACGCTGTGAAYGCCAGCTGGATTGCAGTGCAGGTAACCCCTGAATTTTCCTCTTGGGGAGTCAAACCAGWTAAAGGATTTCTACAAATTTGGGGRCTCAGCTCTYTTTTAAAACTTCCAGCTTCTTCCCAGTTTATTAATGGAGCTCGCTGCAGATATCCAGATGGTCAACTGGATAATGTTTGATTCCCTGCTCAGGAAACAATCCCTTAGCTGGTAGAGTTTAATGAGATTGAGTTAATGTAGCTGAGGCAAGTAAGGAATTCCTAGCTTTGGATGATTTTAAATGGGGCAGGGAGCTCGGAATCTTCCTCTGCCCTGGAGAATTCAAAATAAACAAACCAACCGAGCGGCCCAGAGGAATTTGGATGTTTTTCTCTCCGTTCTGACTTGAAGCTGGGCCAGCTGGTTCACCTTTAAACCGAGTCTCATCCCTGAGAGGAGACTTCCAGAGGTTTTGTGGAGTTGGGTGTCCTGTGGAGTTGTTGTCAGGGATCTGATTCCAAGGCAGAGGAATCAGCCACTGCTGCCTGTTTTTTCCCCAGATCACCCCTCTCTGATGGGACAGGAGAGTTTATAGGGAAATGCTTTTCCTGCAGCTCCTCCCTGCTCAAACCAATCCAGTTTGTGCCACTTGTAGCTCTGTGTCTGCCTGAGCACCTTCCCAGAATCCTGGAATATCCTTGGAAGGACCCACAAGGATCATCCAGTCCAACAGGACACCCCAAAAATCCCACTCTGTGTGAGGCTGATATCCCACAAATGAGGCAAAAAGAAGGAATTAAGGTCTTTCTGATGGAATTAAGGTTTTTTGCTGTAAAAACACTTTTTTTACAAGGCTGGTGCTGCCACATTATCCCACTTCTGGATGGGGTTTGTGACAAAGCCACTGGGAATTCCACGGGACCTTTTAGTACAGTTGCCCAGGGAATTAAATCTATTTTTCTCCCCAACACGCCTCTCTCCCCTTCAGAGCTCTGAGATTAATATCTTCTTTCGAATGCTTTTAAATTAAATCACAAACTCTAATCAATTACAGCCAACTAATGTCCAGCTGYCTGGTAGGAGCAGACAAAACCTTTGCCTTTCTGAGCTTTTTGGAAATGAATATATTTGAGTTTGGGGCAGTTTGGAGGAATATGCAAGTTGTGGATGGGGAAAAAAAAATACAGGATGTTCCTAAAATTGAGAAGTGAGGCTCCTGGATTGGGTTTGTTCTTGCTGCTGTAGTGTCAGCTATTGTAAATAGCTGCTTTTATTTTAGAGGAGCCAGACAAAAGGGTGTTTCTGGAGCAGGAGGAGTGGTGGGTGTTGTGATGCTGCTTAAAAAAAAAAACAACAAATCTAGAGAGAAACAGCTCCTTCAGCCCGGCAGCTCGAGGCCCTGGTGGCTGCTCAGCTGTGTTGGTGACGGATGAAGTCACCACCTCCGTTTAAAACCCATTTTTAAGGGCTTTGGGGGATGTTTTGAGTGGGCAAAACTCAGAATTGGGGGTGTTTTGAGTCCAAACTGGAGCCGCGTCGGAGGCTCCCGCTCCGTGGCCGGCGGATTATTGTGACTGAAAACATCGACTCGGAGGCAGCGGGGAGGATTTGCCTTTCCTTCCCCTGTCTCAGCCCCGAGAGGCCCAGACAAAAAAAGGAACAGCATGTCTTTGAGCCCAGGCGAGGTGGGCATTGTGCGAGTTTCAGACGGGGACTTCATGGAGCGGAGTGGACACAAAGGCGTGTCTGAGTTCCCGAATCCCAGACGGTGTGATCTGCATTTTAATAGAAGAAAAATCAATTAAACAATCTTTGTAAATCCTTCCTAGCTTTAGGGCTAAGCTAGTTCTGGTTTATTACATCTTTTATTACGCTGCATCCCGAGGATAAAATTCGCTTTTTTTTTTTTTTCCTCCCCCGGTTTTATTTGGCTTCTTCCRCGGAACACCGATACGGTGTGAGTTTTCCCTGGAACTGGGGTGAATTTCTGTCTGGTTTTGCAAGCTGACTGATTTTTACACATGGGTACCTTAAAGAGTGGCAGCAGCAATCTAATAATGCTACTGAAAGGAAACATCTCAAAATTTCATCCAAAAAWCCCCACTGAAATGTTTCGGTTTTTACTCACGGGGGAGAGCTTTCCTATAAATTCAGCAGGAAGAATAATTCCTTTCTGCTTTATTTTAAGCCTCACAGCAAAAATACCCCGTGTTAATGTGGGTTTTCCAGTTTTGTGCTTTCACAATTTTGGCGTTTCACTTCAGGATTTCTTTCTTTTACGGGGGCAGCTTTTGCCGGGGAGGGACTTCCAAGAAGAAATTACCAAAATTTGAGTTTTTCTCAGTGCGTTTTCTGTGACTTAGGTGTGGACACAGGTGTGACCTGTGGACTGTGAATTTTCTGGGCTCCTTCATCCCCCCTCAAAGTGCTTCTGGCTGAGGAGGAGGAGGAGGAGGAGCGAGGTCAGAGTGCGTTTTGACATTAGGAAGGACAATTGCTGTCAGGGTGTCTAGACAGACCTGATAAGGATATTAGAGGCTCACAAAGAGCAGCATTGTGGAGGGGTCAGGGAATCGGTCACACATGTTCTGTGTGCTGTGTTTGTCAGGTAGGCAGGGCTGGGGGGAAGAAGTTGTTGAGAGGGGGGGAAATTACAAACATCTTCATTATGGGGAGCTGGGCTCGGTTAAAAAAAAAGTTGGGGCTTGGTAAAGTTAAGGTTTAAGTGGGTGGCACTGGGGAGGTTTCTCTCATTTTTCTAAAATCCCTCAAATCCATCTTTAGGAGCTGTTCCCTTCCTAATCCTTCATCGTCAGGAGCATCGAGAATCGGTGATGAATTCCGACCAATTAACGCTCCTAAAGAGTGTTTATTCTCTTCCTAAAGAGGCTGACTGGTGCCTGAATACTCTCATTTGTAAACTCCYTCACTTTATTAAGGCTCCACACAAACCAGGGGAGGGTTTGGAGGCAGATCCGTGTGAAGGAGCCGTGATGAACCATCCCTTGCATCCATCTCTGGTAATGAATGTCTGAGTGTGCCAGACACTAATCAATACAGCAAGGCTTTAATATCAGCCTTGCCCTGGGAGCCAGAGCCGGTGATTTATCATCGTTGCTCATATCTGCTGCTCTSTGAAAGTCTCACTCTTGCCTTTTCTGGGTGTTTTGAGTTGTCTTAAATCTTGTTACATTCGGTCGTACAAGTGTGAAAGGGGTTTTTTTTAACTCGGTAGAAAACCACTCTACGCTGATAACAACACAGAAAAATGATAGCCAGACACTGCTCACGCTTATGGGGGGAGGCCTAAAACCTCAGCTTGTCTTCTCCTTTCAAGTGCCTTTAATTTTTAATTTTTGACCTGGGGGAATAYGAGGTTTGAGAGCGAAAAGAGCTGATGTGCTCTCCTTGGTGTGAAGTTTGCAAGGAGGAAGATAAAGCCTGAGAATTGCTTCGAAGAGCAGCTCTGATCACCAAATCCAAACCCAGAACAGAGATAACTCATTATTTCCAGAATATTTTGAAATTGGCTTTGAGTTCTTGGAAGTTTGGGGTTGGTGGCTCTGAGAGGTTTCACTGCTGAAGTGTCAGATGAGCAAAGCTACAACTGGAGCCTTACTGGTGGGACTGGAGAGAGCAAAGCTGAGCCAGGGATATGGGCTGTGTGTAGGGTAAGGGGAACTCCCAGTTTTGGGATCAAACAGTGCTTTCCAGTCAGGAATACTGAGGATAAAAAAAAAAAAAAACCACCTTTCCTCTGGTTTTGAAGTCTTTGCAAGGTATTTAACTGACACTTCGTGTTTTCAAAGGTTTGAAGGAAATTGGCTCTGTTTATTGCCGGGATATTTGGGATGTTTTCATGTTAGAGAGGCAGAAATCATTTACTGGGTCAGTTGAATCCCCAGCGCTGTCACCCAGCCTTTATCTGGGAATAAATGTGAAATTCCTCTCCAGGCCAGCAGTCCTGGATGATGGATCTCATCCTTCCAGTCCTACCTTCTCTGCTGCTGGAAGGAAGCAAGGATTGTGACTCCCTCTATAAATAACAGATCCAAAGTTTCCTCAGGAGTGTGGGTGTTGCTGATAACTATTGTCAGTTAAATGTTGATTTCTTTGTTACACGCACATCAGAGCCAGACAAACGGTTCTGTGGGTGAAACTCTTYGCACAGGTGGGGAGATGCCTTTGTTGTTCCCATTATGGGTTTGGGGTTTTTTTTTACAGTGGTCTCTGTAAACTCGCTCCAGGTGCTGTTTATGAGGTTGCACACCTTGGTGTAAACCGATTTTAGCCATTAAACCTCCCAGGAGTAAATTCTCTGCTCCTCTGGTGTCTGAGCATCTCGGTTTTGTCGTTTCCTGGSTGTTTGCAGGAGCTGGAGAAGCTGGGGCTGCGGGATGACGTGGATCTGCACGTCTACGAGGTGCCCGTCGAGTACCAGACAGTGCAGAGGCTCATCCCTGCCTTGTGGAAGAAGCACAGTCCCCAAGTGAGTGAGTAAAGACAGCACAGAAAACCACCCAGCAATGATTTTTAATGGATTCCTTCAGCCTGGTAGTGCCTGGCTGGGTCTTTTCCTCTTTTGTAGTGAGAAGCTGTGAATTTGTGGGATTTTACAGCTCCAGTGCTGGGTTTGCAGGAGCAGTGGGTGTGAAGGGGCCGCAGCAAAGGGCTGTCTAGACAGCTCGTGGTTTGTCTGTGCCACCTGGGCTCCTCTGGCAGCTGTGAAGGTGCCAACGTTCCTTTTCACCCTGATTAAATCACAATTTAGGTCAGGAGGGGGTGAAACGAGAAGGGTTCTGCCGTGCTGAGTTCATGATAAGAATGCCTGGTTCCTCTCACAACCCTGTAACACCTCTGTGGTTCACTGGGAGCAGAATYGTGGAATCCCAGAGTGGTTTGGGGTGGAGAGGACCTTCAAATCATGGCACAGAACCATTTARGTTGGAAAATTATCAAAGAACGTTGAGTCCAACCTTTGATTGATCACCAGTGAGTGCCATGTCCAGGATGCCYTAAATCCATGCCCAATCCATGTCCTGGTTTCATGAACATGGTGACAAGGTGGCATTGGGATGTCACCAGGCCTCCAGTGCCTAAAGGGGCTCCARGAGAGGGATTTTGGGAATGGGAACAGAGTGGCAGGGCAGGCACAGATATCAGAGTTATCCCAAGCTGGAAGGRTCCTGCAGCAATCAGGAATTGTGGSTTTTCCACGATCCAACCTACCCCTCTCCCCTACAGCTGGTGGTTCACGTGGGAGTGTCCGGCATGGCCACCACCGTCACCCTGGAGAAATGTGGCCACAACGTGGGCTACAAGGGGCTGGACAACTGTCGCTTCTGCCCGGGCTCGCAGTGCTGCGTGGAGGGAGGCCCYGAGTGCATCGACTCCATCATCGACATGGACGCCGTCTGCAGGAGGGTGTCAGCGCTGGGGCTCGATGTCACCGTCACCATCTCCAAGGATGCTGGCAGGTTTGGAGCTCCATGTGGATATGGGGTCACTGCAGGGTCAGCTTGGAATGCTTGGCTTGGGAGGGACCCCTTGAGGGATTTGTGGGGTTGTAGAGTTTCAGTCCTTTAAGGGTTTTCCAGTTGTGTTCCCTTCCCGCTATCCCAAGCTGGACTTGGACGCTTCCAGGGTTGGGGCGGCCACAGCTTCTCTGGGAATTCCATTCCAGGGCCTCCCCACCCTCATATCCAGGAATTCCTTCCCAATATCCCATCCATCCCTGCCCTCTGGGGTGGAATAGTGGGAATCCATTCCCACACAGTGGGAATCCATTCCCTGTGTCCAAAAAAAAAGAGCTCTTCACTTTTTTTTTTTGTCCTAAATTTAATTAGAACAACCCCAGACTCACAATTCCTGCCTTACATCCCACGTTACTCCCCTAAATCCCGGGATATCCGCTATGCTGAATATACATCTCATCCTTTTGCTAAAAAATTTCTTTTTTTTGTGTTTTAGGTACCTGTGTGACTTCACCTACTACACCTCGTTGTACCAGAGCCGTGGSAGGTCAGCGTTTGTCCACGTGCCCCCGCTGGGAAAACCTTACTCGGCAGAACAGCTGGGCCGGGCCCTGCAGGCCATCATAGAGGAAATGCTGGATCTTTTGGAGCATTCTGAAGACAAAATCAATTGTCAGCATGAACATTGAACCTGGGCWGGAGCTCTCCTAGTATTGCACTTCCGAAATTTTCCCCGCTGMCGAAGTGTTGAGGGGAAAAAAATTAAAAAAGAAAAAAACAAACCCAGTTCCGGACCCAGAACTGGAGACTTTGAGAAAAAAAAAAAAAGGAAAATTCCACAAATTCCACTTCTAGAAATTAACTTTTTTTTTTTTTTGTCGAATCTGTGAGTTTCAGCCTAAGCAACCAAGGATTCAAAGGCTCTTCTCTCAAATCCCTGCAGCTCCTCATTCCTGAAGTGCTGGGAGCTTCCAGGGGATGGATCCTCACCTGGCAGATCCACGGGAATTTCCTCACCTGGACTTGGCCTTTAGGTGCAGGGAATTGCTCCCCCAGTCTCGTCAAAACTGATTCTTGAGTTAAAGGTTTGCTTTCAGGTGGTTTCGGGTTTGTTTTCCCCCCTCTTCTGACCCGAATTCGAGGTTCCAACAAGGAAAAACACCTGGAAAGAGTCAGAATCACCAGGGATTATTTTGGAAAATGGTGTTTGAGGAGCCTGAAATTGCTTTGCTGAAATGGAAAATGATTTTAGACACTGATTGCTCACCCCACATCTCCAAATATCCGTAGGGTCTCTGTAGCTGCAGTGGAAGGGATGTGTTTGGGGTTCCTTTTGGAACCCAAATCCAGCTGGATTTTTTTTTGGAGCCTGACTCCTAAATCTTTCCAAATGTCTTTTTCCTGCCTCTCTCTTCTCCATCTCCCTCCCTCGATCAACCTTGTACCTCCTGTACCAAACCCCTCTGTTCAAATGTGTCTAAAACCAGTCATTAGTGGGTAAAGAGCTTTTAAAGAGTGGGTAAAGGGCTGCTTTCTCCACGGGAGATCTTTATCCTGGACCCGTGGTGCTCGCTGCTGTTTTAAGGTGAAAGTTCAGTAATTTATAACTTCCTTAGCTGTAGATTTTCCCTCTTGTTCCAGGCTGGGAGAATAATGTTTAACTGAGATTCCAATTCCTCCTTGATTGGGTGGAGGCATAAAAATGGCAGATGAAAAAAAGAAACCCTGCCCAATCAAATCTTGAATTTTCACCCCAATCCCACTGCCTGGAAACCAGAGGTGATGATTTGAAATCAAGGAATTTTTGCTCAAAATGAGGATTTTGGGAGCATTCCCCTCCTGATGGGAGGGTGCAAAGTGGTGCTGCTTGGGAGAACTTCCCCAGGAATTGTTTTGGGTCCACACAGGATCTCAGATTTCCTGCCAAATGATGAAATTCCAGCAAAACCCAGGTGAAATTACCACAGGAACAGAGTCAGAATTGGTGACTGAGGCCTCGTGGAATGAAGGAGGCTGTGATAGGAATTAATGCTTTCACAAATAGATATAAATATATATAAAAACCAACATTTGGAAAGGTTTTAAACCCCCCTGGTTTGGATTTCTCTGGTGCTGACTGGCTCTGCTATTGTAACTCTCAGTGAGAGCTGCCCTGAGCTCGCCAGGTGATTTTCTGGTGACAAAAGGACAAARCCACTCCTTGTAACCCTTGAGACAGGACAGAGACTTTGCAGYTGTGAGAACTCTGCTGAGGGAACCCGAGCAGGAAGATTTTTTTTGGACAGACCCAAGGAAATTCCTTCTCTGTTCACTCTCCAGGCTTTCCTGCTCAGAGGAATTTGCCTTCGAGTGAAATATTGTTGTTCCCRTCAAATCTGAGGTAGCACTTGTCAGACTTCCTGATTAGTAATTTATTCTATTTAATATTTTGTTGAAATCTTCGTGCTTTGACACAGCTTTTTGGTGGTTTTTTTTGTGATTAGTTGAGCTTTTTATCCCATAGGATTATTTGTCAGTGAGAAGTTTTTATCCTGGGTGTTTCCGTAGCTGCTAAACTTGGGAAAGGAGAAYTAYCTGAGCTTTGGCRATGGAGGAATTCCCAGAAAATCTAYTTCATTTTTCATTTCACATGTAAATGTGAAAGCTGTGGATGAAATGGGAGTGGAAAATCAGACAGATTGGCCAGGCCACACCAAAATTCCGAGTGTGGAACCTCAGCAGGGGTGGGAAGAGTCGGTTGGATCCATGGAGGGGTCTTGGGGTGGGATCAGCATCTCCAGTGAGATATTCCCAGTCTATCCCAGTCTGTCCCAGTCTGTCCCAGTCTGTCCCAGTCTCTGCAGCCCGGGAGCACTGGGAGATGGCCCAGGATGAGCTCAGGGCTCCGGATCCTGCAGCGCAGACGGCAGCAGCTCCGTGGGCTGTGCTCCCTCCCACACGCGTTCGCTCAGCCTGGAGAGGCAGATCCTGTTCAGCACCTAAAAATATTCCATCCCTGGGTGCTCTGTGCTGTTCCAGGGAAAATCCAGAGCTGTTTCCGTGCCTGCAGTGCTCGGCTTTGGCTGTGCCAGCGTTCAAAATCCCATTTTTTTGGGAATAATTCCGGCGCTGCTTCGAGCTGGGCTTTTCCCCCCCGAGCTGTTTTTGGGAAGCTCCACGTGATGGGTTTCTTTAGAAAACATAATTTATTTTATATTCTTTTATTTTGGGGGGGGGGTGGTTTTGGGGGAATTAGTCCTGAGGTTGTGTTTATAAAAGGTGTCTTGGTGGTAGAGAAATTTCCTGTAGGCCAACTTGGGGAAAAATGGCATTAAACTAATTTTATTTAATATGACCTAAATTTGGTCACATCCTTTGGGGTTGGGGTTTTTTTTTATTTTTTAAAAAAAAGCTTTTTGTTCAATTCACAAAGCTTTTCCTRCAGATCCATATTTTCTTTGGGAATAGGACATCAAACTGCTGCAGAGCTTCAAAAAGCTGATATTTTATGTAATCCTTTTTGCTTTCCACATCACCAATTAATAGAATTTGCTAATTTGCACTGATTAGGAGAACTGTAGCCAACCCCAAAAACCTCGTGCTAGTGAGTAAAACTGGAGGAAGTTCAGGTGGAGAGCTCCTTCCTGTGTCTGTAATTTGGGAAAATGTGGAAAATCTGGTGAAATTTTTGGATGCTGTGACTGCAAAATTKTCTGTGGGGATAAAGGTTTGGGGAGAAACAGGGGCTGAGGATTTTTGGTGTGGAAGAGAGGATTAGGGAGGTTCTGCTGGATGGGGTCTGATGTCATTTATCTKCTTGGAGCAGGGTCTGGCCCACGCTTTTGGGGAGTGTTTGGGATGACAATTGAATTGTCCCCATCCTAAAATGCTGCAGAAGGTTTTGAGGAACTCCAGAGACTCGGAAATGTCTGAATTTGGTGAATGAAACCTTGGGAATCTGCTTTAAAACTCCAGGAAAATGGGACTGGGAGCTTGGGAGGCTCCAGACCTCAAAGATTCCTGTGGGATCTGATGATCCTTAGGATCCCTGAGCGGTTCTGTTGTGTTCACCTGGGGCTGTTTGGGAATTTTGGGGGCATTTTTTTGTGGGGGAGAACATCAGAATCAGCTCCCACAGAGCATTTCACCTTCTCTGGAGCATTCCCCAACCTCCCAAAACCGTGGGAGAGGTGGGAAAGGATGGAAAGGTCAGGAAGAGGGTTCGAGGTGTTGGGTGTGGTTGTGACATGAAAAACTGCTGAGCTTCCAGAGTTATTCCAGAAGAGACCAGAATTATCCAGGAGGGGCCAGAATTATTCCAGAAGGGGCCAGAATTATTCCAGGAGGGGCCAGAATTATCCCAGGAGGGGCCAGAATTATCCAGGAGGGGCCAGAATTATTCCAGAAAGGGCCAGAATTATCCAGGAGGGGCCAGAATTATCCAGGAGGGTCCAGAATTATCCCAGGATGGACCAGAATTATTCCAGGATGGACCAGAATTATCCAGGAGGGGCCAGAATTATTCCAGGATGGACCAGAATTATCCAGGAGGGGCCAGAATTATTCCAGGAGGGTCCAGAATTATCCCAGGATGGACCAGAATTATTCCAGAAGGGGCCTGGCTGGGGTTTCCAGAGTTTCAGACATCATTAAAAAAAAAATAAATTCACCCCAAAAAGGTGGAAATTTGGGATCWGTCCCTTCCAAGCCAGTCCTGGGATTCTCTGACTCGTTGCCCTGACAGGCAGATTCTTTTAGGAATTTTTTTAGGAATTTTTAGCAGGAGGAGGAGCTTCTTCAAACCAAAAATGGGAAAACCCCAGAAAAAAGGGGGAATTGTGCTGCAGCAGCGATGACAGTCTGGCCGTGGGGGTTTGAGGTTTTATTCCTTGTGACTCCTGAATCTTTTTTAACTTCTGGATTTCTCCTGAATTTCTCACTCCAGCCGAGGCTCTGTGGAGCTGCTGCAGGAGGGAGTGGTGGTGTCTGAAATCTGACTGAAAATCGGGATCTTTAGACGAAAAAATTACTTTCTGTGGGGCTTTTTTTTTTTTCATTCTGATTTTCAGATTTTACCCCCATAGTGCAGAAAAAATTGCCAGCCATGAACTTGTACAGATCCTTTCCCAAAGTAACTTCCTCCCCTTTACCTCCTTTACTTTAATACTTTATCCAATAATATTTTAATGATTTAATTTTATTTTAATGATAGGAATTTCAGAGTTGCAAAGGCTCTTTCTAACTTTATTGACTTCGAGAAAACCCCCCTCCCTTGTTGATACCATAAATACTCATCTTGATCTAGATGGATTTGTTATTTTTGCACCAGAACCCCTAATTTTTTGCAGTCTAAAGTGCACTTTTTTCATATAAAAAGAACTTGTATTCCTGTTGGATGAGTGTCTTATGTGCTGAAAGGGATTTTCTGCCAAAGCCCCAGAGCTGAGGACGTTTTTCATTCTTYGAGGTGTTCACTGAAACCTGGGACCTGCTTCTGCTCCATCTCTTTTCAGACAAAAACAGGGAAGGAAATTCCTCCCCACCMGTAGGAATTCAAGATGGGAAATGAAACTATCACTGCCCTTAAAGAAAACTCGGTGGTTTTTCAAAACCCACCTTCAGGTTTTCTACCGCACCAGCCTCTTCAATCGTTCCAATGTTTACTTCGATGATCAGGGAGTGCCTTGTCCTGCGCTGGCCTCGCGTTTTTGGGAAGCAGAACGGCGGCCGTGGGGATGGATTTACCYGAAAATGGGGTGGAAAATCGGGCTGGAAACCCCTGAATTGGTAGAAATCCCCTTTTTAATCCCTGGAGGGAATACCCCAGGTTCTCTGATGCTCACACACACAGAGGAGCAAACAGAAATTGCAGATTTTTTGGGTGGGTTGGCCCAATTCCCGCGGGTTTTGCCGTCTCCTCTCGGAGCGAGGCGTCAATCCCGACCCTTTCCCGGTGTCACTCAACCTTGTGAACCCCCAATGTCCGTGTGGGTGTCTCAGGTGTCACCACCATCGTGTTTTTTGGGGACTCTGGGCTCCCCGGGGTTTGTGTGTCCCCGTTCCGCGTGTTCTTGCAGTGCCTTGTCCATCCCAGCGACCCCGAGCGCTGTCGGGGACCGGTGCGGCGCTCCCGGCTCCTCCTGCCAGACTGGACTTTGTAACTGAGGATGGAAAGCCCTGGTTYAAAGGAAATAAAGAGTTTGACTCTGACTCTGTGCTGGCACCCTTGTTCTGGTGTCCCTGTCCCCTCCACGTGTCCTTTACCCCGTTCCAGGGATGGAAATCCCGCGCTGGCGGATTTAAGGTTTTCCTCTCCCTGCTCCTGCTGCCACTGGTCCGGACTGGGAGCAAACTGGGCAGGCTGGTGCCACCAGATGGAGCTGCCAGCCAGGCACGGTGTGCKCGGTGTCACCCCAGAGATGGCCGAGGGTGCCACCCCCGCGCAGCTCCGGCTTTGTGGGGCCGTGGGGAGGGTGGAACGGCTCCGGGGCTCCCGTTTGATCCGGGAATTGGGGATC